CAGCAAAAAAAAAAAAAAAAAAAAAAAGAACACCCAAACCCTCCTCTCAACGCGCACTTCACACATGTAAAACCTCGGCAAAACCCAAACTTAGACCGAAATCACACTTGCACTTCTTGGACGGAATCTGGTCGTAATTGCTGTCAGATACATCTCTGAAATGCTAGTGTGAGTATGTGCCCCTCAGTCGGAAAGCTCGCTCGGTGAATTTACAAGCAAACTGCTTTCCCTTTTTTTTTTTTTTTTTTTCTTTTTTAATCCCGAAGGGACTGGGAGCTCCCGGCTTCGCTTTGGAAACTGCTTTTCGTCTCTACCAGTACAGTAGGTGGGATCTGTGCTTATTTTCCCGTTCCTCTTTTTTATTTTTTATTTTGAATTTTTAGATCGGGATAGAACCCACGCCATATTCTACCAACAATGCCTTTTTTCTCTTTTTGGCAAGAAATAGATAAAGTGTGGTCCTTGTTCTGGTCAGTTTACTACTTTTTTTTTTTTTTTTTTTTCAAAGCTATACTCTTCTCTCAATTTCACCTCACACTACCTACCTACCACTACTCCTAATTGTAGGCATACGGGGAACCCCGTAGCAGCCAGAACCGTGTTCACGAGAGAACATGCGGGGGCTGCTCCCGACCTGCAGGTGGGCGATACCGGCTAGGGGACAGCCGGTAGCATCAGGAACCATGCCAACAGGACCAATCCCTGTGCCTCCCCTCAGATCCCCTCCCCTACGAACATCAGCAGACTCTGCTCAATGCCGCTCGGGGGATCCAGTGGTCTATCTCTAGGTGGCGGGCGCCAAGCATGCCCAGGAAGGTACATGAGGCCAATGGGGATTGAACCCACAACCTCCTGAATGCCACTTGCAAGCCTTACCAAGTTACCAACTGAGTTAGGCCGCTGGAAGATGAGAGGTTTACTACCTCTCATCCGCCTTCAAGTTCTAGCGGGCCAACAGTAATATGTATTTAAAAAAAAAAAAAAATCGTACGAAAAGAAAATTTTCTTTTAAGGTGAAAATTTTTTTGAGTTCTTCTTTTTCCCCTTCTTCCCCCCGATGTAATCGCCCCCCCAAAAAAACTCTTTTTACTATTTCAAGCCGGGAAACGGGCCCGGCGTCCCTTGCAAAAGGAGGACCACCAATGGGACTTGGACTGGGACCAATGGGATGCCTAGCTTTTCCAAGAGGCACGAAGTGTTGATTCTACCTAGCCCAACCCTTGGTCGTCAACAACCAAACCTTGGGTGTTGAAGAAGGTCACAAGCCACCCGAACTTTTTTTTTTTTCTTTTTATTATTTTTTTCTTTTTTCTTTTTTTTCTTTCAATGTGGCCCAAGCCACCCGAACTTCCCCCCCCCACTTCCTATGGGATGAACACCATAAATTCGTATGGTGGGAAAATGAAAAATCGTAGAAACATTTCTTCTGACGCTTGTTTTTCTTTTCTTTTGCTTTGTCCTCTTTTCTTTGCAGATCCGTTACCACCACCGTTACGGAGCACGGCAACGATTTTTTGAAGATCGTCATGCTTTTCCGTTCCAGAAGATATCCCGTTCCGTTTCGGACTGGATTTTTGAAGATCCTCTTGCCCATTCCGTTCCGTTACGTTACGTTGCTATCCACCGTTACTGGGCACGGCAACCGTTAGTGCGGAGTGCGGCGTGCAGAAAACATGTATTTTTAGACGCGGCAACCGTTAGCAGCCGTTACTGGCCGGGGCAACGGGTAGTGCGGCATGCAGCAAATCTATTCATAAATTATAGGGACTCAACGCCCGGCGTGCAGTGTGCGGCGTAGGGTGTGCGGCGTAGGGGTGTGCGGCGTAGGGTGTGCGGCGTAGGGGTGTGTGCGGCAGGGAATGTGAGGGGGGGACAACCCCGGGGATTGCGCACGAACTGTATATACCTTGAATTTTTATTTTTATTTTTATTTTTATTTTTATTTTTAGACTTCGTAGGTAGATAGTGAAAGGTGAAATTGAGAGAAGAATATAGCTGCTGTGAGTTTTGAATAAAGGGGAAAAAATTATACCTTGATTTTTTGGTAGTTTGTGGAGTCGCGAGATCGACATTATTATAGTATTTAGAAGAAAAGAAAAGAGATGGAAATGGTACTGCTATTAACGGATTGGTCATGTCCGACTGGTCCTGGCTTGGGACATGGCAAGTCGGTGACCACCTTGTACATTTAGATTGAGTGTAGTAGGTGAGGGAGGCGAGGGGGGGAGGGAGGAGAGGAGAGGAGAGGAGGAGGAGAAGTAGAAGTAGAGAAAGGCAGGTGAAAAGGGAGAGAAACTCAGAGGAGAGGATGTGCCGGCGAAAGGAAGTAGATACCAGAAGAGAGCGGCAGGAGAGAGGGAGGAGAGAGGGAGGAGAGGGGCCAAGGGAGCACGAGAGCTAATCCAACGAAGAGTGAGGGGAGGAGGAGAAGGAGAGAGAAAGGTAGGAGAAGGCCGAAAGAGAGAGGGCGTGCGGGGGAAAGGGGAGAGGGGAGACGAGAAGAGCGCCCGCAGCAGAGGGAGGACAGAGGGAGGAGAGTGGTAGGGGAGAGGGAGGGAAGAGGGGAAAGGGATCACGAGAGGTCGGAGAGGAAGACCAACCAAGAGTGTGAGGAGGCAGGAGGGTACACGACGATCGACGACCGTCCATCATGTCTATTATTCCTATTTTTGGCACTCATAGTAATGATTATTTCCATCTCCACCGTATATTTGAACGGTGTATCAACGAGCCCCTCCGGAGATGGCGCTGGCACAATTCGTACAGAATGCAAAGGTGGAGCAATTACCTAAGAGTCAACTTGTGGAACTTAGCCGATTTTGAGCAGCTGCCGGCTAGCATGCGGAACAGTGCGAGATTCGAAAACTTACCGATGCAGGGAATGGAGGAATGGGTGAAAGGAGGTGGGCCTCCCATGGAGGGTATTGCTCTCTCAAGCATGATGGACAGCTTATGGGATGGGCGCGAAGCGTCGGCACTATCACAGGTAGAAGTCAAAGAGAGCGCATTGGCTTACGTCTTCGCTGTCACTGCTCCAGGGTTCGATAGGGAGGAGATGACGTTGATGGTGAAGGAGATGAGGGGAGGAAGACGAATGTTGGTGATTAGAGGAGAGAAGAGTGGTGGGAGAGAGAGAGAAGAGAGAGGAGGGAGAGGGAGGGAGGAGGTGGTTGGTGTTCGATTATGGCTTGAGAAGCTGATCGCAGATGGAAGACGGAGGTTAGCAATGACAGGAGAGAACGAGAGAGGAGAGAGAGTGGAGAGAGAAGAGCGAGGGTGGGGAGGGAGGGAGCAGCAGCAGCAGCAGCAGCAGCAGCAAGAGGAGGAGGAGGAGGAGGAGGTGGTGGGTGTTCGGTTATGGCTTAAGAGGTTGGGAGCGATGGATGGTGGGCGACAACAAAAAAGAGTAAGGAACGAGTTCGTCCGTCGATTCAAGCTGCCAGAGGACGCTGACTACAGGCGCACTTACGCAGAGTGCGAGGTGTCCGATTTAACAGTGGTAGTACCGAAGATCGGACAGGGGGGGGGGGGGGTAATAGACCCAGAAGAATTGTCAGAGTCTGACATGCAGCCTGTCAGAATCGAAGAAGTGGAATCAGATGACGAAGAGATGGTCGATCAACGGCGCAGATGGCGGCAGCAGCAGCAGCAGCAGCAGCAGGAGGGCAGGGGAGGGGGAGGGGGGAAGGAGGAAGGAGAGGAGCAGAGGAGGGGGAGCATGGATACTGACGAGGTTACCTCAAGAACATCTGATCGCGCGTTCGAAACGCGAAAAAAGGATCCGTACGGAAATGATCGCCCGTTCGAAACGCGAAAAAAGGATCCGTACGGAAATGATCGCCCGTCCGATTCCAAAGCGGCAGAGGCCGCATGTGGAATCTTGTCGAAAAAGGAGGGATGTGTTTCTCAGCCAGGTTCAAAATTCAAATGGAAGAAATTCATTAAAAAATTATCAATAACGAGAAAGGTGAAGAAGTGGAGGGCTTCGAGATCATCGAAGAAAAAGATGAGCGAGCAAGGGAGTGATGAGATACTGAGCGACAAACTGAGCGACAGACCGAGCGGCAGACTGAGCGACAGACTGAGCGGCAGACTGAGCGGCAGCGTGAGCGACGAGGAGGAGGAAGAGGAGGAAGAGGAGGAGGAGGAGGTGGTAGTAGACGAGCGTCGAGAATCTTGGGGGCGAAAGTGACTGACGTGGAGAATGACAGGTGAACTGAGCTGGAGTTTTCTTTTTTTTTTCCGCGTTGCTCGTTTTTTTTTTTTTTTTTTCTTTCAGAAAATGGTATTTTTTTAGTTATTTTTCTATGTAAATAAAGATTTATCACACTTTTAGAAATGGATAGATAGATTACTGCTTCCCTAGTTTATCATTGATTTATCTGGCGATTATTATTACTATATATAAATAAGGCCTCGCTCCAGTACTGCCGCCACATGCACAACACAAACGACAAAAAATATGGCGATGTATCTTCCCGGGTTCTAGCGGAAGATTCGTTCTCATTTTGCACATTTGGTGAGTAGGGGAGTGAGGGCCATAGTCAAACAGAGGAGTGCTTGAGGGAAAACCGTAGGCAGAGAGGGAGAAGGGGACAGCAAACGAGTGAGTGGCTGTGACAGTAGTGTTTAGATCTGCATTTATAACATATATTCATCTCCCTTATTTACGAGTCATCTAGCTAATATATATATCGTCACAAAACACGTATATATACATAACCGCAGTTCAAACGCTCCTGATAATTCAATGATTCAGCGAGTGCACGAAGAGAGTATCCCTGGCGAAGCAATGGCTCTCCTCCTTCGTCTGTACTCCGTTTCTCATCGTCCCGGCGATTTCGTGCCGACGACCGGTCGGTTTCGTCAGGCCCGTTGGCCTCGTCAGACCCTACGACCGGTCGGCCTTGTCAGACTGCTGTTGATTATATTACCGTTCTTCGTGCCGAGGACCGGTCGATTGATAGGTGTGCCGTTGTCCCTGGGTGGGCCAAAAAACGTTTCTTAGGGTTTTTTTTTTGTCCCCCCCCCTCGTTTTTCGTTCCTTCGCTGTCTCGGCGAATAAGAAGCGCTATTTCGCGCTTTCTCGGCGTGTTTTTTTTTTTTTTTTTTTTTGGTAGTTTTTAAGTGCCGCAGTTGGAAGGAAGCTAT